GGCCGCGGGCCCGCCCCCGTCTCCGCCCCCCGCCATAGCCACTCGCCCGGCCAGCCCGGTGCGCTCTGCTGGCGGCGGCAGCTGTGCTTCCGCGGACCGCGGCGATATCACGCCGCCCAATGACCGCCCAGTCCAGGCGCGGCTGCGGCGGCGGCGAGGGCCTCGCCCGGCCGCGCGTCACAGCCAATGGGAGCCCGCGCCTGGGCCACGTCAGCCAATCAGCGACCTCCGAGCCGCAACCAACCGCGGCGCGCGGGGGTCAGGTCCGCAGCTGGCGCAGCTGGGTGCGGAAGTTGTGGGGTTGCTGCGCCTCCGTGCCAGTCACGCTCCGCCTCCGCCACCGCCTCCGGCCTGGTCGCCAGCCGCACGGAAACTCGGGCAGCGTCGTCGCCCACCTCGGGCTCGGTTTACCCACTGGTGCAAAGGGCCGAGGTCTTGCGCCGGCGGACCCAGAAGCGGGCGTCTCTTCAGCACGCACAGCCAAGCGCCTATTGTGTGCGAGGAACTCGAGTGGAGGGCGCCTGGGCGGGACGGGGGAGCCAGAGCTTGGTGGGCACTTTGGACAGTGTCCCTGGCTGGGGCCGATTCACACTGGACCGACTTCTGAGCCCTACCGCGTGCAGAGGTTATGAGGACCGAGCGTACCCCTACTGTGTGACAGCTCGTGCTGTGTGCCCGGGAGCGCCTGTTCTCTTGAGGGAGAGGACAGTAGACTGATGAGAGTCGCTGTAAGATTTGGTGAGCGCCTAATATCTGTTAGGCGCCGTGCCAAGCTAGACCGCAGCATATTTTTACTCATGATAACGAGTGGTGTTGCCTCCTCAGAGGCCCCCCCTCACCACGTCGCTGAGAGGTGCCCACTCCTCCAGTCACTGCGACATCACCCCGTCTTCTCAGTGCTTGTCGTAGGCACTGAATTTACTGTTCGTGTCTCCGCCACCAGAAAACAAGCTGCTGAGGGCTGGGACTTGCTTGCTTCACAGCTGAACCTCCATGTCTGTATCAGCGTAGGCCTCAGTAAATGCTTGATGAATGAATTCTCAGCCAAATGACTTTACTTCCTCAGCAGGTAAATGACCGGTCAAGCTGACTACAAAGTACACAGTAATTGCTCACATAAATTCCGTCTGGTGTCACCAAATGGGAGCTATTTTAGAGGCCTTGGAAGGACCCAAGAGGTGCACAGGGGGAGCAGGGTGGGGAGGTGAGAACCCTTCTAGAATGTCTTTTGGAGGCTCCACCCTTGTTCTGGTTCTCTGAGGTTTTAAGCCCTGGATTCTTCTGCTGCTAGGAAAAGCCGGTCATCCCAGGTGTGTTTTCTGGGTGTTCATGCCCTGGGAGGCCACCATCCCCAGCCAGGTCCA